GTAGGTCATAACTATCATACATAAGCCGGCGAGTAGCCACGCGCAGGGCAAATACAACGAATGATCTAATGATTAGGTAGGTCATAACTATCATACATAAGCCGGCGAGTAGCCACGCGCAGGGCGGACACGACAAATGATTAGGTAGGTCATAACTATCATACATAAGCTGGCGAGTAGCCACGCGCAGGGCAGAGACGACAAATGATTAGGCAGGTCATAACTGTCATACATAAGCCGGCGAGTAGCCACGCGCAGGGAAAATACAACGAGTGATCTAATGATTAGGCAGGTCATAACTGTCATACATAAGCCGGCGAGTAGCCACGCGCAGGGCAGATACAACGAATGATCTGAGTTGTCGTGCTTTATGCACCGGCTCCGCGCGACATTTGCCGCTCTAGTCATACAAATCTGATCACCAGGGCTGACCGAGCGCTAGGTCTTATCGCCTCCCCGGCGCGGCTACATCAAAGCCCGGCTGCTGAGGATGATGGAGCATTCGTCTCGTTGCCAGATGGAAAGGAGTGTGCAAGGCATAGCAAGATCTTTGAAAACCGACGTGTGGGATCCGGGATATGGGGCACATCGTGTCCTCGCCCGTGGTGGGCAACTACCGGATTCAATGCCACTTCCCTGGAGGTAGATGCACTGCCGAAGTTCACGTCGCAGACCACATTCCTGGGGCACGTCCCGCATCATCAACCCAGCTACCGTGGGCTCGTGCTTGTACACGAGGGAATGCCCGTACACTGCGTTTGCGACCGTCGGCCTACCTCTTTGGACCACGGAAGCTCTCGCGAACCGCGCCATACCCAAATACCGGATCGAGGAGTCCTCGGAGAGCCGCCCGTCTCAGTTCAGATCCAAAGCAGTGATGGAGCGTACTCTAGACGGCTGCTAGCAAATACCTCATCAAGCCGCAATACTCGGGCAATCGCACAGCTTCTCCTCTCATTGCGCCGTTGCCTGTCGTATTCTCCCCCGCTGCCTCCCAAGATGTCGATATATCCTCGTCGACGTAATAATCATACCTGATTTAAGCACTGTCTAACAATCAAGCCTAGTCATATCCGGGTGCACGACGGGCCCATCATCGTTTACCGCAGCTTCTCCGTCATCAGATGCGCGAGCTCCTCTGCGGCCGATGCCCTCGCGGTCTAGGCTGTCCGCCGGTCGGAGGTATCAATGCAGGACGATGCCGCGCTAGCACTCCACCGCGACGCGAAGTTGTGGACCTCGCCCTTGTGCTGAAGCATTCACCGCGATATCGTACTGTCCCGCTGACACGTTGCGCGGAGACCGACCAGGGCTCTCACCAGACAACGCAGGCAATGCTCTTCTGCAGGATCGCCCGCGCGAGCCTGCCTGGTTTGTGCACTACAACATCACCTTGACGGCAGGCACGTCGACGAGTCGGCATCTGCCCGTGTCGCGAACTTCAACATGACGCGCCGCATCGGCGAGGCAGGCGAGGACGAGGAGAATGCGATGCCGATTTCGCAGTCAAGAAACTGCAGCCATGGCGCCACCACCGCTACGCGTGTCATGAAGGAAGATCACGCTTCCTCGAGGTACCTTCCCTACGGTCGTGCGACTCAGCTCAGCAGCCCGCGATCCTAGGAGAAGCGACAGACTCGGACGTTCGTCCAGCGCTGCCCAGGCTGATGACGGCGCCACTCGATCCAGACCAGGGGACATCCGGCCTTTTACCCTTATCCCCGAGCGCCGGCGCCAGCTACCTCTTCTCTTCAGTTCGCACCAGATTCGATCACGCTCTCCCCGGCGATCGTTTATAGCCTGCGCCACTGGTATAGATCCGTCAGGCTCGTACACCATGACATGAGGTTCGAGCATGTGCTCATCAACGAACCGGACATTTGTCGCATCGGAAATTTCGGCATTGCGCTGCGCATCGGCGAAACAGGGCGGGATAAGGAAGACGTCATCGCGAGCTTGCAGTGGACAAGCTATAGCCATGGTGTCGTCGTCGGCAATGCTGTTGAGGAGGCAGTACAAGGGAACGCTGCGAGCGTCATGCGACAGCCATAACTCTCGCGGCAACGCTCTCGGCTCATGACGTCCAACCTGCTCCCGTTCTCTGTCGCGCTGCACCCCTCCCCACAGTAGGAGTCAGGATCGCTGCCGTACGCAGCACTGAGCTGCTGATCTGAACGCACGCACGCTCTGTGCTGATGCTGCGCAAGACATACAATCCTACGCGCGTCGTGGCTCGACTACCGTCCATGGTCGAAGATGACGGCTCTGCTTGGTACGTATTTCTCTCCCGTTGGACGCGAATCGGTGCACAGACCTCAACCTTGCAGACTTGTACGAGCACCACCCGTCCATCAAAGCCGGAGCCCGTCGCGCCAGTGCCGGTTGATTCGAGTGCGACGTCAACCGGCCATGGAGATTAGCGATGGTGGACGATGTTGCGCTGGACATCGGATCGAATCTTCCCCAGTAAGCTAATGGCTCGAATCTGCTGGTACACAACTCACGCCTCCGATAGAAGGTCGCGGCAGAGAATTGCGAAGATCTTCACCTGCATCGCGCCAGATGGGACCGATGAACTCGTTTGCACTACACCCAATGTTGAGGCGGTCGCGATGGTGACTGGCAGCGCTGCAGACGCATCTGTGGGACGCTGCCATTGCCGAGAGCCTCGGTGTTTAAAGCGGCACAAGCTGGGCGCATTTGCCCTGGGAGAATCGAACATGTTCATCGGGACCACACTGCGCGACCGCTGTGTCCTGTGTGCCTTGACGCATGGAGACGCGGGCCCTTGTACCTAGATATGGAGACTTGAAGATCGGCCATGAGCAATTATATCGACAGAACGCAAAGTCGCGGACGACCAGGATGTTTATTGCTCGATAAGCTGCTGTGGGTGTATAACATCCTACATGTTAAGATCGAAAGGAATCGTACATTCCGCCCCGATGGGCACCAACTAATCCCGCTTGATATCATGACTACGGCGCCGATTCCCGGGAGTCAAGAGACAGACCTGATGTCTAGATCTGCTAACCTGTCCCTCGTCTCATCATCGCCGTCGCCATGTAGTGACCACTCTTGCGGGATGAGCCAGCCATGCGTAGTGCTGTATCGCACCGTGAAAAACATCACTGGACCTCGCTCGAATTTCAGAGGATGGTGCACTCACATAGGTAGGTGTCCGTGAGGCTTCGGGTCAATGACGGGTGTACGATCGAAGATCGTCTATCTCGTGGACGAGTCGACAGCCGTGTAGGACAACGGTACGACTGACTAACGACGGGCTACGAGGACGACGATCAGCAATGGTTTGCAACGAACGCGTTGCGGAACACTCACTAATACCATTCACGAGCCGTACCGAACACCATGTATTCACACCGCTCGATGATTAATTACCGCCTCGCCATCCTCTGCCCTGACTCGCTTCCCACCTCCTGTCAGTGCCCGACCGGCGAAGACGTTGAAGCTCTCGACGATCGTCTTCCGGCTCCCACTCCCGGGTTCTTTGCACATCATACGAAAACCGGAGCTGAGTCGCGGCACTTCTTCCTGATGCACGCAACCCTGAATCCCCACCGTCGTTGGCACTCGAGGAGCAGAGCCCGCCGGTGCCGAGTAGTCCAAACTTTCCTCCTCGGAGCATCAGCGCAGATCCAGCCCTGCTTGGGGTCGGCACCTCGAAGGTGCATAGCGGCGCGTCAACGCCGAGAGCCAATTGTGGAAGTGATGCGACTGTAGACACGACATCAGTCTGACCCAATTCAGATGCTTGGAGTAGACGATGCGGACCTGTGAGAAGAACGCCCGGTTTGCGGTGAGATGAATTATGCTGCCGTCGACCATAGACACGAGCGATCATAGGCCGGTGTCCGTTCGATGACGACGCACGCCGTCCGGAGAAGCGACTGAGGCTAGCCAAGGGGGAAACGGTATGCGGAGCTTCGAGATGTGCGATATCTGGAAAGAGTGTATGCGGGCATTAGAACCAATCGTGATCCATAGAAGTAAGGTAGAAGAGAGAGCAAGTTCACGCAGCAGGGATTCGTGAAGACCGGAGCGGGTGCACGAAGATGACGAGCGACGGGGAGAAGATGCGAACGCGTACGCACCTCAGTTAACCATTCCGGAAGCCGCAGAGCATTTAAGACCCGGATAGGCAAGCCGATACGGTCTTCATAGGGATCGTCGAGGGCGTTGAAGGGGAAGAGAGGCCGGTGTAGAGTAGAGGCGGAACTTGACTTCGGTGAAGGAGAGGAGAGAGCGTAAGTGCGTCGTTCCCAGGCGATAGGTATGTAGATGAGGCTGCTGGTTTGGGACGGCCGCGGCGCGTGCGGGAGACCCAAGGTCGACGCGCTCTTGGACTATGGAGGTGTCCTGGACCAAGTAGGATGGTCAGTTTAACTTTGAAGCCAGACCTACCTACCTACCTACCATCGTGAAATCGCTCGAGCGAGATAAGCTTCCGCCCCATGCCATGGTGGATAAGGAACTGAATGACAATGCTCATGCCATGAGCATTGTCATTCAGTTCCTTATCCACTATCATCTATAAATTAACGGGTTCCCTCGGCGCGAGATTTCTGGAACCGAAAGTCAATAGCCAATTCTGGACTCCTTCTCATCGTTCTTTGGACTTCAGGCGTGAGTATCGACTCGCCTTCAATACCGTCCACCGCGGCTGATAACAGACTATCACCGTATCGCAGTGGTCATCGGAAGCAGTCGTTCAACGCCGAACCACGAAGTGCTCAGTCTTGACGACATCCTGCAGGAAGTTATCGGTGATGTGATGTGCATGTCACCAGAATCAGCTCGAGCTATTGTTGGCCGATCTTAGCCCGTATACTGCACCGGCAACACGTAGTACACAACCTTACGAACCCAAGAAGCGTGCCGTGGAGGACGCTATATATGAGGTATCGGCCATCGGTATCTGCAGACACGATCGCAAGATGCCCGGGGTGCTAGCAGAGATACCGTCGTGGCAAAGCCCATCAGCATCCGACGTGCGATGTGAGCTGCCCTTCAATGTTCTTGTACACGCAATGCAATTGTCTCATCCTGTATTCTGCCGTATCAGTCGATTATGCGGACCTGCGCACTTTGGATCTGTCCACAGTGACTGGTGACGACTACGAGCATGTTCCCGACTCCGTCGTGAAAGCCACCAGTGATGTTTTCAGTCGCGATGGGTTCATCTATGCCACGAACTTCGGCCTCAGCGATAGCGAGGTTCGCCGGTAGGTTCTTCCTCAACTATCCGTCCGATCTTCCTGACCTGGCGACAGGCAGTTCAGTCTTGCGCAGTTTGCGTTCAATGGCATTCCGCACGACGAAAAGGCTCGATGCCCTACGAAGGTGGAAACCGGGGATTATACAGGGTACAAGCTGCCCGGTGCGCTCACCATCAAAGGTGCACCGGACTACATCGAGCAACTCAACCTCCGCGGGCATGCGTTTCTTCCCGAAAATCATGATCGCTACTTCCCGCCCGCTCTTCAGCCGTTCATAGCCGAAATCGAGGCGTTCAGAAAGGCTCGTAGGCACTGATTACGATTTTATTGTCACTAGTACTGAACAAGCGTCAGTATAACCATGACCACATCTTTCGCAAGGTTTTATCCGTGCTGTCGCGGATTTTAGAGCTGCCTGCTACCTACCTCTGGAAACTTGCGAACAAAGATTCGGGCATGTTTCGTTACGCCCTATATCATCCTCCTACGCGAGAGGATGAATTGAAGACAGGAGGCGTCCGTCTGCAAGGGCATACGGACTTCAGAGCCGTCACATGTATGTCTATCTTTATACCCTGGCTGTAAACGTATAACAAGCCGGTTTGTCAAGTGCTTTACTCCCAACCAATCGTAGCCTTGCAAGTTCTTGTTCGTTTCCCACTGCGTAGCCGTCGAATTCGAGTGTCTAACTTGGAAACCCAGATGCCCGACAATGTCTGGCGTTATGTCCGTCACGTCCCCAATGCCCTTGTCATCAACCTCGGGGATACCATGCGATGTCCGTCTACGGATCGTGACTCGATGGCCGCATATCGCTTACTCACCCTTTTGCCACAGTCATCTCCGGCGGCTTTCTGAAGCCTACCATCCACCGCGTTATCTCACCTCCGGACCCAGCTCAAGCGCAGTTCCAGCGTATCGGCGTGTTCTACTTCGCGGCCCTTAACGAAGATGTTCGCCTCGTGCCCGTCGCTGATTCGCCCATTGCGTCAAGTACGGGTCAGACGTTCTTCAACAACGGCAAGGATGCGCCGACGGCTTGGGAGTGGGAGACGACCCGGGTGAAGACGTACGGACTGGAAGGCAAGAAGAAGACGTTGGATGACGGGCATGAAGAGGAGGTCATCATCGGCGGAGAGAAGGTGCGCCCTTTCGGTCCTACTGTTCATCGCTGGCGACGACTGACTGAATAACGCAGGCCATTCACTACAATTGAGATCGGGTAAATACGCTAGCCGCGCAGCGCACAATCAGAACCGGGAGTGACTTGACTGTTGTATCTCGTCATGAACCAAGGTCGCGTCGATGCCACTGTATGAGCATCACTATGAGAACGCACCATTACTGTGAGTCATAACGCGGCATCTAGGAGCTACGTTGACAGCTACTGTACGCCGTTCGTGGCAACAAGGCCGGGACGGCGCTTCTCTAAACTTTCGTGTCGTTTGCAAGTTAATTCTCATCGAGGACTGTACACGTTTCCTCCCGAAAATCGCAATCCAAGCTTCCAGTGAAAACCCCGTGATCGTATCCCTCAGATCCACCTCGCTCAAGCCGTCAAATCGCACACGCCCGGCCGGACCGCGCACCACGTCGGCTGGAGCGCGATCGCGCCCACGCCGCGCTGCTGCATCCTGAACGCGAGTTCGTGCAAGCGCGGGAGCGCGGTCTCGACGCCCGTGTTCGTCGACTGCTTCCCGGCGAGCGTCGTGTTCGACGGCCCGTTCCAGAACAGCTCGGCCGAGGCCGCGGCGCGGGGCCAGACGATCGAGTCGAGGTTGGCGGGCGAGGACTGCTCGGTCCAGAGCAGCTGCTGGCCGCCGAGGACGAGGGACGCCTCCGTGTCGGAGAGGGAGGCGAAGGGGTCGAAGGTGTACGCCTGCGGTGACGCGCGATCAGGAACGAAAGGGAGAGAGAAGACGAAGGAGGGATGCGTACGCGTTGCCAGGTCTTGAAGGGTTCGCACCAGCTGTTGCCCGAGGGGAAGTCGCCGACCCAACCGCCAGCACCGCAGTCCTGGCGAGCAGGATAGTGTTAGATGTGAGAATGGGGTCGTGAGGTATTCAGACGTACGAGATAGAAGTAGTCGGAGGGTGCGTGGACAAATCGGTATCCTTTCTGCGCGACAGCTAGCGCATCGTCCGAGCTGATCCACACCCTGCAAGTACAAAGAGTCAGCGCCTCTCTAAAAGGAACGAACACGAAGACGAGATATGCGCACAAGATGATCGTCTCGTTGCTCAAGGTCACGTTGTGGTCGAGCACCATCTCCTCCCAAACGACGGGCGTCTTTCCGAGCGCCTCGATCGCCTTGTGGGTCTTGACCGTGAACTGGCTGAGCGCCTCCTCGAACGTGAGCCCGCTCGAGTTGAGCGATTGCTGCGTCTCGGTGTCGGCGGTGTAGCAGTTCGCGTTGATCTCGTCGCCGCCGGTGGAGAAGAGCTTGGAGGGGAAGAGTTTGGCGGCGGCGGTGAGCAGGCTCGCGGTGAAGTTTTGGGTCGCGGGCGAGGCGAGGCGGAGTTGACCGGCTGGGGGTTCTGGGAGGCGCGCGGCGCATGTCAGCGAGACGGGACGAAGGTGGGAAATTAGAGGGAGGGCGCGGTGGACGAACCGTTGGCGAAGGTGGCCCAGGGAGTCGCCTGCGGGCACGCGATGTGCTCCGGGTGAGACTCGGAGATGATGGCGGTGTGACCCGGGGTGTCGATTTCGGCCATGACGTCGATTCCTCGCTGGATAGAGAGCTCGTCAGTCGACCCATTTTGTAGGGAGCCCGCGATGCGAATGCTCACCGCAGCAGCGTACTGCACGACGTGGGCAACGTCAGCCGGGGAGTAGGTCTCGGCCGCGGAGTAGGCCCCCTTTTGCGCGATTTCGGTGAAGCCGGGGATTTCGAAGGGGAAAGACTGCGAGTCGACTATGTGCCAATGGAAGGTGTTGATCTGAGGAGGGATGGGTAAGATTGGTCGTTCAAGTTACGGGGCCAAGACGGGCATGACTGGGTGAATGCGACATACCTTGACCCAGCTCATGGCGTCCAGGGTTCGTTCGATGTCGGAGACCGGGAAGCTGATTCCATCGTGAGCCATAGCGAGCGCGTCGCACAAGCAAGTAAAGCGTACAAGTGTCTCGCGGTGTCAAGCATGAACCCGCGATAAGGCTATGGCAGTCTATCAGCTAAGCAAGTTCGTATGTGACGAGAACGAGACTCACGAAAGCCGGTGCGTCCTCAATCTCGAACGGCGCGCTGAGGGTGTACACGGTGTTGCCGACCGTGTACCAGATCTGGCTGAAGGTCGTCAACCCGCGGAACAGGCCCAACGTCGTCTTCGCCGTCAGCGTCGCGGTGCCGCCGGTGCTGGGCACGGTCAGGGTGTAGCTCTCGTCGCGACTCTCGAATGGCTTGACCGACTCCGCGGAGATGCTGTCCGCCTTCGCGCCGCCCGCGAGGGACAGCTTCAGCGACGTGAGCTGCTTCGCATGAGCTACCGTGGACGCGTCAGATGCGCCGCGGTCCACGACGAGCCGCGCGAGCTTGTCGCTGTGCAGCTGCGCGGTCGTGCGCTGCGCGGCGGCGGTCAGGTCGGCGGGCGCGTCGTGCACGGAAACCGAGATGCTGAAACCGGGGGAGAGGCGGAGCGGGGTGGAGCCCGTCTTGAGCGAGGTCGGCTGGGGCCAAAGCGCCAACGCGGATCCGGCGAGCGCGACGGCGTGCAGAAGGCGGAGGACGCGCATTTTGGGGGGGATGGGAAGGGAGGGGGTGGAGAAGCGCGAGAGCTTGAGCCAAAGAGCCGAAGGCCTCCCGAGACAAGCGTTCGCGTGCCTTTTGTACCGACGACCAGATGCGGCTTCGCCAGCGATTCGAAGGCCATCAACGTCTGCGTGGGTCTAAGTTCCCGCCGCGCTCCTCACAGAAACAGAGCAGCTGGACCAGGGGGAGAGTTGCATATGGAGCGCGACATCAAGAAGCCAGGAAGAACGGATGCAAAGGGACGGCCGGTCCATGCTCCGAGAAGCCCCAGCCTTGATTCGGTCCTCCCATCCGCGTCAGCCCAGCGTGCTGTCTTTCCGGCAGGTGGACGATAGCGTCTCCGTGTGCCCAGATACGAGTCCGATAACGAAAATACGTTCGAGAGCAGGGGGACGGCGCGGAGAAGATGGGAAGGTTAAGTCGGAGGTCATCGCCGCAGTCAGCCAGGTGATGCTCGAGGGACGGCGAAGGCGGACGGAAGCTGGTCCATATGTGACCTTCGCCGATAAGCCCAGGTTACGAAATATATATGAGAGGCCGGGCCTCACCGGCGTTGAGGTGCCCATAGGAGGACGCGGACAGCGCTCGGCGAAAAGTGCAAAAATGGCCCTTCGCCGTCATCGACGGCGGACTCGTGGTATCTCATGCTAGACTGCCCCAGAGAAAACTTGGTGAGAACGACGAAATATAGCCAGTCAAGCCAGGAACCCATTGAGATTACAGCGAGAAGCAGACGAATGCGTGGCAACGATGATGGGGAGAAGATAAGATGCTCTGGAGGCAAATCGGAGCAGCCATCGCCATCCTCTAGCTGAGGGTAGCTAGGAGAACCAACGAACTGCAGCATGGTTCACATCCAACCCAACAAACGAGCTCAGGTGCACGAAAGAACTCAGAAGACCGAACACCATCCATATCACCAACTAGCCTAGAACCAAAAGCCACGACATCCCGGGACAACGAGCGAGCAGGGATGCAACAACTGCCACGCATATATGCTCGCGCTACAGCAGCAAATCGTCTCCTCCTCCCATCGACGACGAGCCTCCGAGCGGCGCACCGCCGAACCCACCGCCCATCGCCGCCGGCTTCGGCACCCCACCGCTGCCCCCACCGCTGCCCCAGATCGCCGCGTTCGCCTTCTCCCGCTCGAGATCCTTGATGCTCTTCCCCGCGCCGGGCGTCGCCGGCTTCGACGACGCCGACGAGCCCATGCTCGACCCGAGCGCCATCGAGAACAGGTCGTCGAACCCGCCCGCGCTCTTCGTCGTCGTGGCGGCGGCGGCGGCAGCAGGCGTGGAGCCCGGCCGCGCCTGCGTAGCCGACGGCGAGCGCATCTGGCCGCCCATCGAGAGGGGCGAGATCGGCGCGGATGCCATGCCCATACCCATGCCCATGCCGCCGTACGACATCGACTGCCTGTTCATCGCCGGAGGCGCCTGCTGCTGGGCAAAGCCCCCGAAACCCTGCTGCTGGTAGGCCGGCGGCGACTGGGCGGACGCCGTGAAGGATTGCTGCTGCTGTTGCGCGCCTCTTGCAGGCTGGGCCGCGAGCATATCGTGCAGGCTGAGCTTGGGCTGGTGCCCCAGCACCTGCGGTTGCACGGCGGGGATTTGAGTCGCGGTCGTCGTCGTCGTCGCCGCCGGGGACGCGGGCGTCGTCTGGAAGTCGCCGAAATCGTCGTCTATGGCCGAGGTGACGTCAGAGGCGCATACATGCACGGCGAAGATAGTAAGCGCGCGCTTACCGTCGAGGGATACAACGGGTGCGGGTGCGGGTGCTTGAGCACCGAGTGCCGGCAGCGCCTTGTTCACCCCGGAGGAGGTCGATGCCGGCGCGGGCGCGGAGCTCGACCCGAACGGATCGTCGTCTCCGAAGCCCAAAAGGTCCACCACCTTCTCCGGCGCTTTTTGCTTGGGCGCCGGCGGGGGCTGCGCAGTCCGGGAGGAGGAGGACGCCGCGGTGGTCCTGCGGCCGGTGGAAGAGGAAGAGGCAGCTGGCCGGGAAACGGTCTCGTCGTCGCCGGCGTCATACTCCTCAAAGCTGTTCTTGCCCGCCGTGTCGCGGAAACCGCCGTTCGAGCCGCCGCCGCCGTTCCCGTATCCTCCATAATCTACCCGCGCAAGGCGATCAGAATCCGCGCGAGTGAGAACAAGGCAGGCGGGGGGTTTGGCGCACCTCTGTCGTAGCCGCCGCCGCCGCCATAGCTTCCGCTGCCGGAACCACTGAGGCTGTCGCTACCAAACCCGCCGTAGCGGCCTCCGCCACTCGAGAAGCTCATACCGCCGTCGTTCCCCGTGCCGATGTACTTTGTGCGATTTGCCTTGGCCTTACGCCGCTCGGCGCGGATACGTTCGACGTCCGCAAGGAGCTCGACGATCTCTTTCGCACGGTTCCTCACTATACCGATTTTACGTCAGCACACATCCAATCGCGCAATGATAGATAGAGGGAAGATCGTAGGGGTATTAGGCGTAGGGGTATTAGGTTAATCCTCACCGTTGATGCCCTGGTCCTTGCCCTTGTCGTCGATGTAGTGGAAGTTGCGGAGCATCTTGACGGTCGATACGTGCCCGCGCGCGTCGTCGACGACGCGCTCGGAGCCGTTTTTGATAAGGTACTCGAGTAGCTGCAGCGCCTTGTAGATCTCGCGCCATTGGCGGGCCTCCTTCTCCATAAAGCGAGCGTATATGGACGGCATGATTTCGTTGAACTGTTGGCTAAAGTAGGTGCGTCATTAGTCCACGCGCATGGGCTCGGAGGGTGCGCGACGTACAAGTTGAAGGTTCTGCACCACAAGAGGTCAAGGTTGGCGACGCTATCGGAAGGAACATCACGCACCCTTGGGCAATCTCTTGCATGAGCGTCGAACTTGCACCCCTGTTGGCAGATAAAAACGCGTTAGCCGGGCCTGACGACAGCACAATGACACAGTGGGCGCACCAGGGCTCGTCGTTCGTTGCTTCCTGCACCTTCGCCTCCATCTCGCTCACATTCAAGACCATGTTCTTAGCCTACCAAGGCAAATTCCAAGTGTCGTCAGGAGGCGTTTGCATACAACATATGCGCGTACATGCGCACCTGATTGTACATGCTCTTGACGTCGTAGATGGTCATACTGGAGAGCGTCTCCCCGAGCGAGGCAAGCCGATCCATGTTGATAATCAGGGCCTTTCCGTCGTCTGTGGCGTTTTGTTCACGGTGAACACCGAGTGCGAGGCGAGAAGACCGTGATCGAGAGGAGCACAGCGGGTGTCGTGGCGAGAGGTCGATAGCCCTGCGTGGACGCCACCAGCCAGCTGAGCCAGTTCACACCTCTAATGCGGAAAATACCGCGACCGGTGCGATGACCGTGCTCTCGCTGCCTACACCCGTCTTCACGCTCGTAAGGAGGCTGGTTACCGTCGTATCCGCTTTCGGAATATCTGGGAATTATATTCTGTCGTTGCCGGCATGTCCCCCCGCGCCGCAGGAGATTCAGCGACACCGACGGAGCCATATACCCGGACGCGCGCTTTACTACTCCGGACATGGGAATGTGCCCCAGCGACGGTGGATATCCACGCAGGAGGGCAGCAAAACCCAGGACGCGTGTAATTCGAAGGAGTGCTCCCCGCCGGACGTGCCCAAGCTAGCGCCGGATGCCGAGACAGAGGCAGAGCCGTCGGACATCATTCACCAGCTGCTGCAAAACCCGGTGTTGTACAGTCCGCTGAGGAAACCACGGAATCCGATTGTCCTCTGCCATGGTACCCCTCTCGCTCTCTCCGGCATTCGCGACGCCCCCACTGATAGGTTAGCTAGGCCTTTACGGCTTTGACGTCCGCGGGCCGTCGTCGTTCCCTGTCCTCCAAATGCACTACTGGAGCAACGTGCTCAACATTCTCCGCAATAAGGTCGGCGCAGAAGTCATCGTAACTTCCGTCCCTCCGTGCGTCTCTATTCATGTTTGGTTCCGGCGACTAGCTGAGTCGTGTTGTGTTGTCGTTCTGTAGCACAGGTTCCGTCGCTGAACGCGCCGAAAACCTGCACAAACTTCTAGCGGAGAAGGTACCACAGCAGGATATCAACCTCATGGCACATTCCATGGGCGGGTTGGACTGCCGCCAGCTCATCACGCATATCAAGCCTAGGGAGTACACTCCCGCCAGTTTGACCTGCATCGCTACGCCGCATCGTGGCAGTCCCTTCATGGACTGGTGCGCGGTATGTTACTGAGTTATTTGCAACCAGTCTCGGACATGACTGATTCAATTACTCCATAGGAAAACATTGGCCTAGGCAAACTCGGGCGCCAACAGCGCGAGGAGGCGATATTGAAGAACACATCCACCCCCTCCACCTCCGAAGTCGTTTCGGAAGCCTCATCCAAGAGGAGGGACAAGGCCAAGAAGGGCAAAGATGGCAGCAGCGCCGTCTCCTCGATCGCCTCCCTCCCGTCCTCCTTCACGACCTACCTCCTCGCCATCCTCGACTCACCCGCCTACGCCAACCTCACCTCGCACTTCCTCACCACGCACTTCAACCCTTCTACCCCGGACTCGCCGCACGTGAAATACCTCTCAGTCGCGGGCCGCACCGACTCGGTCAACGTCTGGCACCCGTTCTGGTTCACGAAGCTCGTGGTCGACGCGTGGGAGCGCAAAGAGCGCAAACGCCTGCGCGAGGAGGGCTATCCGCCGGAGCTCTGGGCGGACGACCGCGAATGGGGCAACGACGGACTCGTGACGATCCAGAGCGCCAAGTGGGGCGAGTTTCTCGGCGTCATCGAGGGCACGGACCATTGGGAGATCCGGGGCGCGCGGGGGATCGAGCTTGACGTGGACCTCAAGCTCGGCGCGCTGACCAAGGGGATCGACCTCAGCATTGGCTTGGCCGGCTTAGGTTTAGGTAGCGCAGGCGAGAGCTTGAAGGATTGGGACTGGGGCAAATTCATCAGAGCGTGGCGGAAAGAGGAGCGGAAGGAGGAAAAGAGGGAGAACGGAAGCAGGGCTACCAAGACGACGGTCGAGGAGGGCAAGGACCTCGCCAACGCCAAGACGATGACGAAGACGACCGTGGAAACCTCCGCGACTAGCTCAGATATGCCCAAGGGCGGCGTCATCACCAAGCGCGAGAAGACGGCTGAGGAGAAGGAAAAGGACGACATCATACGAGCATCGACGGAGAAGCTCTCCGCCGTGTTCGACTGGATTGTCGATCACGTTCCGACGGAGTCCATTGCTAAGCTCTCATCCACTGTCACAAACATCGAGCTTACACCGTCCTCCGGCTCGGGCGCGTCGGCAAAAGAAGGGACGGACAGGAAGGGTGAGAAGAATGAGCTCGCCACCAAGGAGGATCTCGAACGATTCTACGTCGCCTTGGCCCGGAAGTTGTATGATGAAGGACTATGAAGCAATCTTTATCGTGTTTTATAGACTGATCGTGTTCCGCGGTGTTACCGATGACATACACAGAAACTGTCGGAAAAGACATCGCATGCCGTAGAAGGGCCATCCAAATGACTTCCAATTGTATTGGGTTCGATATCAAGTTGTTTTCGCTCGAAGCGCCGAGAATAATCCCGAGCATATCAAGGCGGCGGCTGCGCGCCGACGCAGGCGCGATGGCGTGAAACGGGCTACCGCGATTTGCGCATGTTCACACAGGTGTACACGACCAGCGAACTGATAGTCAATTGTCCCGAACTGTCCTTGGGCGGCATCGTCATATACCCATATGAACGTATGTTGCCCATCGCTCCGGGGGTACCCCATCGTCACGCAGCTTTCGGACAGCTGAATCCAGTGCTTGTGGGATCAAACCGGGGTTGGTATATCCTCCGCTGAGCAAGGCTTCATGGACTTCCTTTGCAACCGCCGGTCCGTCCATATCGTGCATCTCCCTGGCAAAGCTTTCAGCCAGTCTATTCTCTCGATAATCGACGCCCACTGACCACATCGTGCCAATGACAGACTGAAATCCTGCGAAGAGCATGGATCCAGCGAGATGCACTATCTCGTCTGGTAATGCGTGGTCTCCGGCGGCAGACTCGCATGCACTAAGAAAAGCGAAATATGCTCGGGGGGCCCGGGCCCGGGCGATGTCTGCCACCGTCAGCATTCCGCCTCGGAGAACAAAACCGCTACTCAAAGGGTCGTCGCGGTTCTGTTTCGCATGGCATGCGAGGTGGACAACTGATGCCGACTGAATTTTTTCTATTAGGCCTAAAAGCATATCTGTTGTCTCGTAGTATGACTCCCCGGTTCGCTTTATATCTGCGGGTTTAAGAAGGACATCTTGTATGCATGTAACATGCTGTGAAGGATGCATCGTCGCCAACTGAGCAACCTCTGTAGCCGCCATAGGGAGGGGTGTGAGGCCCGGAACATCCGGCTGGGCTACCAGAAGTACATGATGATCCTTCGACTGAGGCACGGTGGCGGTCATCCGCTTGCGCGCCTCGATGAGAACACTTAATGAAGGTGTATAGGATGAAACGACGAAATCGGACGTGCACTTGCCCTTTACTGCACCTGCCGCATGTAGCGGCAAGGAGACAAAATTGCCTGTCGGGCACCACCACAGTCGTGGCCGTACTCCGTCGCCCTTGTACTGATCAGAAAACCATCGTGAACCCATCATTTTGGATGGTATCCGGACCAATATTGCTCACCATTAATCTCAGGCCAGACATAATCGGATAGACCACATGATCCCACAGCTCTTGCAAGATCTGTATCAGAGGATTTGATCTTGTTCTGTAAACGATCATAGGACGCGTTCCTCTGTCGTCCGTGAGATGTGATTGCGCCTCCAGGTTATAGCAACTGCGGGCATCTCTTTGTGCTCGCACCAGAACCTGCGACCATCTTGATATCCGTACTGCGTCAGCATTGTGTAACGGGATGACGAAGGGTTCAGCGATATCGGATGGCATTACAACGCCATACGAGACATCCCCTGATGCAACCAGTAGCACCACAGGTCCTTCCTTCGCAGCAATGCGCAAGTTGGCGAACTCTGGAGGAAGCAGAAGAGCCTCAAACCCGGGATGAGAACGGGCTTGCTCGAGCAGTTCTTCGAACTCGTTGACAAGAGCGTGCCGACGTGATGCGCCCTTCTCCGAAATCTTGCGGGTGTCGCTCATCCCCACTTCCTCGAGCTGGCGGGAGACTATCCGCAAACGGGATGCTAACCTGTCCGGCAACCCGTCGAAGGGGGTACGAAGATGTAAAACGCCGTTCCATAATAGTGTGCGACCATGTTCCAAGCATTCCACGGCGAGTTCGGTTCTCATGTTAGCAATCGCATGCATCGCAGCTGCTGTTGCTACGCCTTGAAAACCTCTCAAAGCCTGAAGCCTGGAGCGCATATCTGTTCCCTTGTACGCAAGCCGGGGGAGGAGGTGCATGTTTGTTCGGTGAGCGCGCGAAATTGAATCCGTATCATTCACGACAGTTGCGGCCTCCAGGAATGTCCGATTGAAGCGCAGGCGTTCCAATATAGAGGTGTATGGATGCTCGACCGCCTGTGCGTAGGCATGCATGCACTGTGCAGAGTCAGTGCTGTGCTCGGTCAACAGGAACCGGACGTGGAAGTCAGCGGCAAGGCCCGCCCAAATAGTGGCGTACATGGGATGGATGGGAGGTGCTAGTCCCAGAGCAGTCTGCCGACGCTCAAGCGCTTCGTCAATCAAGTTGACATCCTTCGTCAATTCTGACCAACTTCGCAATGTTTCCGCCCAAACATCGTACGTAGACGCCACCAGCATGGCTTGTGTTGTCGAGCAAAGCTGCGTGGCTTCCTGACAGTGAGCCACGGCCTCCGTAAAGTATCTTGTCGATTTCTCGAACGAGCCGAGCTTCTGCAAAAATGAAGCAAGGGTACGCAGTGCATTGTATCTGTACGGGCTTCCGGGAGACGCCAGCGTCAAGTATTGGCGGCTAACGCTGCAAGCCTCAGAGAGCAAGCGCTCATCGGGGGGCATATCGAGGCGACGTCGGCTGTCCAACTCTCCACACAGCACGCCACACATTCCCCATGCAATATACACTCGATGCTGGTCTGAATGTGCGATCTCCAAACATCGCTGGGCGTATTGCGATGCCTGAGTAAAGTCTGCGCGAGCACCCAAACGGTCGAATCTGAGTCGAAAGGCCATGGATAACTTGTGCACAGCGTGCCATGCTTGGGAGACGCTGCCTATGCAAGCGTCAGCCAAAGGCTGTAGTACGAGAATTGCTTCGTCTACGTCATCGATTGTTGCGGAAGCGTCGCACCGCTCAAGAAGAGCATGCGCGAAGTGTGTCCGTAGTCTGTTGGGCGGGACGACTTCAGTGGTCTCTTCTACAGCCTGCCGGTAGTAGGTAATAGCTTCGTCCAAGTCCCGAATCGCAGTTTCATATATGCCGTAACGTTCGTGCAAGACAAACGCGCACTGGTAAAGAAGACGATGCTGGCCGATTACAGAGAGACCGCACTCGCGCGCTTCACGAGCGCGTAGTACCGCAGTATCTATAGCATCGCCGTCATTGAGGATGGTGCCACGCCGTATGAGAGATTCGGAGAGGACGGTAAGAATTTGCGATCGATTTGGTAGAGACTCCGCCCCCGAACCGGACACAGTTCGGTCAAGAATGGACGAACACAACATCATCTGCTGGAGAATGCCGTCGAGGCGTTCCTGTCGGTAGGAGAGTCGGATGAGCACGATTACCAGAACAAGTGCAGCTGACACCAAACTATGACCCATGGATTCCCTTAACGCCATAGCGGAATTAGCCAGTTTGAGTGCCTCCTCCAGGGTTGCTGCAGAGTCACTACGTGAATGATCAAGGGTCAGGGCATGAGCAAGACCCTCTTTTGTGGAGACCAGTAGGGTTGCGTCAAGGTCCTCCCGGGAAAGCAGGTCATGATGGAGCTCGATAGACTCGTCGAGTGTCTCGTCTCCGCCGGTCTCCTCATAACGGACAAGTAGATTTCTGGCGAGAGAGAGGCGAGTAGCATAGCACGAGGTTTGATTTGACGCGCGCAGTACCCGGCGAATCGCAGTGATGGCAGCGTCAGTGGCCGCAAGCCAGCACCTACGCCTGCGTTTGACGTCCTGTATTGAAACGTGCATGCAATCTGCAGAGTTCACCAATCGGTCGTCAGTCGTCGTGTGTCAACAGCAGTGCTACGTACCACGTCTTCCCGTATCCGTTTGTACACGTCAGCGCGAGTGGGTAGCACAAGTGGGTGAGTAGCTGGGAGGGGCGGGAGCCAGCGACACGTATATATGCACCGGCCGGGGGAGCATTACTGAACAATCAGACGAAGATAGCTCGAGAAGGCCATCACCTCAGAAGTACACCGTGACTGGACGGAATCACAGCATGTCACAGCCTGCGTATTGCCTTCAATTCATTGAAGGAATGGCTATCGCTGCCTTTCCGAGATAGTGGATTGACACAGGCGTAGTAGTTGCCTTCCGTGATTCATGACGCTGTCATGTCCGAACCGCCTTCGATCCAGATAGATAATGTTATGTCGCCGAGAGACATGGGTGCCCGCAAAAATAAGCTGTTCGTGACAGCAGGTAAGTACCCGAGGCGGGGGTTGGAGGACGACACGAACATTCTGTCCTCACTCACAGCGAGCCTTTGCTTCCGCCCCTCACGCGCAAGTCTGGATCAGGATCAAAGCGACTCGAATCACAAGATCGTTCAAACCCAATTCACACCAACCTTGCCCTGCGAATTGAATGCTGCGCGGCCGAAGTTGGGGACGCGATCTCACCCTATGACGAGTTGCGCCGATGCCGGCGTCCGCACGCGCACAACTCGCTCTCTTTCTTCCTTCTCCGCGCTGTGGACGACGACGAAGGCCCTTATCGACGCCGAGCTCTCAATTTGTTTTGACCTGAAGCAACCATGGGCGCGTTACAATCCCACTTCACGCAGATGTTCCCGCCGAAGCCGACGTGGCGCGTGAACGACATCCCGGACTTGACCGGCAAGGTGCGCGGCGGGACCTGGTCAGTTGAACACGGGCACAGCGTCTCTGACATTCTTGTGATGTCGGATAGGTGTACATCGTCACCGGAGGCAATTCTGGTATCGGGAAGGAGACGGTCAAGGCGCGTTTCCCCGAACATGTATTACTGCACGAGTAACTCACACTTTTTCAGGCTCTCCTCGAACACAATGCAAAGGTATAATCCCTTCGACGCACTCTCAGTTCCCAGCTCACAACTACTCCACTTGCAGGTCTACCTCGCAGCCAGAGATCAGACCAAAGCCGAGGAAGCCATCAATGAACTGAAACAAGCTACTGGCAAAGAGGCCATCTTCCTGAAGCTCGACCTCGGCGACTTGCACAGCGTGAAGCAGGCAGCTGAGGAGTTTATTAGGTCTGCTTTTTCTATTTTGCCTTGAGCGCCAAGAGCCTGACCTTACGATCATATCTTGGTATTCAGTAAGGAGAAGGAGCTTCATGTATTGATCAACAGCGCGTACGTGTTCATTCGCGCCGCATATAGTGCAGGTTAATTGACACTGTGCATGCTCAGTGGTGTCATGGCCCCTCCGGTCGACATGGTGACCAGCCAAGGTTACGACCTACAGTTCGGTGAGGCGCATGTTTGCTCCTTAGCCCCGTCCTCCGACTAAATCGCTGCAGGAACCAACGTCCTGGGTACATTAGCCCGCATATACTCCCTCACCTTTCCCAAACTCAAGCCTCTTCGTTTTGCCTCCAGGTCACTTCTACTTTACTAAGCTCCTTCTCCCCGTTTTGCTCTCGACCACTAAGTCCACTCCGGAGGGCAAAGTCCGCGTCGTCAACACATCCTCCTCCGCGCACTATCACCCGTTCGGCCCCCCTCTAGACTTTGCCACCTTCAAGGACGGGCCCGCGCGTCGCAAGGTTCACAAGACCAAGTTGTACGCTCAGAGCAAATTCGTACGTATATGCTCGCTGTTTGCCGTTCAAAAACTTTCATGGATATAGGGCAACATTGTCTTCGCGAACGAGTTGCAGAAGAGGTACGGGGACCAGGGTATCGTCTCCACCTCTGTCAACCCTGGTGCGTGCTCCACAGGGTCATGCATACGATCAATGTGGGATATTCATCCCCCCTTCCCTCTAGGTAACTTGAAGACCAACATCGGTCAGTTCTCGTATTCGTGAACGTCGCATCCGCGCTGAAGTTCTTATCCGTCGCCAGCTCGTTACAATGGACCTATTTTCAGTGCCCTCATTGTCAGTGCCCTTTGACTTTTTCCGAATTGCTGCCCCTAACGCCGTGTCTCCGCGCAGCAACCATTCTTATATCCCGCCCCATACGGCGCGCTCACCCAGCTGTGGGCTGGCACCTCGCCGGAGGGTCTCGAGCTCGGTGGAAAGGTGCGACGATCTCGCCTTGTGCCCCTCCCTGCCGCGAAGATAACCTAAATTCGTTTTTACAGTATTTGATGCCGTGGGCTCGCGTCGGCGTGCCGTATGCGCCGACGAACGACCCGGCGCTGGGACGTGATTTGTGGGCGTGGTTGGAGGAGCAGCTCAAGGACCTCTGATTTGGTCGAGATTGGACTTCGGACTGGTCGTCTCCCGAGCTGGGTCCGCGCGTTCCGGCCTACGATGCTTCCTTGTTGGTCGTGTTTGGACTTGCTGGAGATGCAGTGAACGTTCTGACTGCGGGGATTCGAGAAGCTCGGGAGTCCTGAGGAAGCTGTTGGGCAATTGGGCTTCATACCGACGCATAACCTTGCCCACGCTTGCGTAACTCTCAGTACGTACGTAACTTGACACACGTCTGTTAGTCTTCAACCTGATGAATAGTGTTGAGTAAGCAACAAGAACCGTTGCAACCGAGTGCCGCCTTGCTTGCGCGGCTTCGGCTTCTCAGTTTGGCTTCATTGGAACCATCATTGACTGCGACTCCGAGGCGGCGAGCGATGTTCACACACTCCGAACTCCTCGCATCCTGGCAATATTCGTCTGGAATATCAATGATGCGTCGTAGTACGCGCGCGGGACTCGCACGTCCTTCGCCGTTATATAGTTCGCAATCGTTGCCGCATTACTCCAGCATACCGGACTCGTACACCGCTGTTTTCTACGATTCCAAACGACTATGAGCGGCGTACGCTCTCAATACACCCAGATGTTCCCCCCAAAACCCAAATGGGGTGTGAACGACATCCCGGATTTGACTGGCAAGGTGCGTAACAGAACACGATCATTCATCGCGTCTGAATGTTCAACAATGCCTTACAGGTGATGATTGTCACCGGTGGCAATTCTGGTATCGGAAAGGAGACAGTCAAGGTGAGTTTCACAGTATTGGAACTCGTGTGAGCTTACGATGTCAGCGTGAGCTAACAATCTATACATCGCAGGCCCTTCTTGAACACAACGCAAAGGTACAACCCGCATGACACAGATCGTACCGTAGCTGACACTCTCCATTCTCGCAGGTTTATCTTGCAGCCAGAGATCCGAGAAGGCACAGGAGGCCATCAACGATTTGAAGCAAGCCACAGGTAAAGAGGCCATCTTCCTCAGGCTTGACCTTGGCGACTTGCATAGCGTCAAGCAGGCAGCGGAAGAGTTCATCAGGTCGGTCTTTCTGCTGCGTCGGGACTCGTCACGGCATCCGAGCTAACATGCAATGTTCGGCATGCAGCAAGAAGCAGCAGCTGCACGTACTATTCAACAGCGCGTGAGTGCTCGCTTGCCTTGTATTTATGCGAATCTGTTGAATCATCGGCGTTTCAGTGGTGTCATGATGTGTCCCCTAGACATGCTGACCGCCCAAGGCTACGACCTGCAATTCGGTCAGTCGCATAATACCACCCCAACTACGCATGATCTCCTCATATCTTCACGTTAGGAACCAACGTGTTGGGTACGTTAGCCTGCATATAACACTTTCTATATATCACGAGTGATTATCCACAACATCTCTTCCAGGCCACTTCTACTTCACCAAACTCCTGCTTCCTATTCTACCCCCCACTGCCAAATTTACACCGGAGGGCAAGGTCCGCGTCGTCAACATGTCCTCCTCAGCGCACTACAACCCGTTGGGTCCCCCGTTGAACCTCGCCACGCTCAAGGACGGCCCAGCCCGCCGGAAGCTGAGTACGGCCAAGTTGTACGCATAGAGCAAATTCGTGCGTCGCATTTCCCATTCCCTCGTTCGTAGGCCCTTCGCGAGTGTTAATTGGAAGGTCTGGTGAACATAGGGTACTGTCGTCTTTGCGAACGAGCTGCAGAGACGATACGGCGACCAAGGCATTGTTTCCACCTCTGTAAACCCCGGTATGTGCTCCGACCGATGATGAATTGCACACGACATGACCGATGCTCATTTTGCCCCGTTCTGCCCAGGAAACCTGAAAACTAACCTCAGTTAGTTCTCTTATTCTTGAGGATCGCGTCGGCGCTCATTGATGTATCACCAGCACGCTACAGTGGCTCTGTCTTCAAAGCCGTCACCGTGAGCGACCTTCATGTTGTTTACTCCATTTCCCGCTGCTGACGCTCTCCCACAAAGCAACCACTGCTGTTCCCGGCTTCCTACGGCGCTCTTACGCAGCTCTGGGCCGGCACCTCGCCGGAGGGTCGCGAGCTCGGCGGCAAGGTGCGGTGTTATCTTTCACGCTCATCAGATGCTATTGACGAGTGTTTCCGACCTCGCAGTATCTGATACCATGGGCTCGGGTCGGCGTTCCGTATGCACCAGCAAACGATCCGGCGCGAGGACGAGATCTGTGGGCATGGATGGAGGAGCAGATAAAGGACATGTAAATCTCCCTGTCATCGCGGATGCTGGACATTGCTGAAGTGATGCACGGCTTATTCGCGCCCTGCAGTCATCGAAATCCTGATCAAATATGATGTTATGTACCCATTCACATTGTTCAACCTTGCGATGCGCGCCACCTCATGCGACTTCCTGGGGATGCACAACCAGCTTCACGCCGCTGACTTTGTCCTGGCGCAGCAGCTCCAATCCAGCCGGGATAGCTGGTAGACCACCCGGGATTACTTGCACGCGATTCGGCTGGCGAATCCAACGTAGACATGTCAAAATTCCCCCCGTTGCGGTGGCAATAGCAACCCACCTTGATTGAGCCATCCCGCAACCACTGGCCAAGGTGCGCATACAATTCGCGCCCTGCCTCATCCTCCTCGAGTTCTTTGAAGCTCAGGTTGCCTTTCACCCACACGAGTTCTTTGCCGTCCTGGCCGTGCACAACTCCGTCGGGCGGCGCTAACACCACCACAAACTGCCCGCCAGGCGCTACGAGCGACCATCCTACCTTCTGAGTGTCGGCGGTGCTGACGGCGTCGTAGGCGATCTTGATCGAATCCGGCGTAATCTTCAGTACTTCCGCGCGGAGGCTGTCGGCGGGGAGCGAGCGTGAGAGGACGTGCGTTGCGCCGAGGGATTTGAGGTAGTCGGTGTGCCTCTCGGATGCGGTGGCGATGATCGGAGAAAATCCGGATACTTTGGCGAGTTGGATCACTGAAGGAGGATGAAATTCGGTTAGCTTATCGGTTGTGGGCTATACAAGGAGACCCCACCGAATTGGCCAACGGAGGTGGAACCGCCGAGCACGACGAATGGCTGACCATCGTACGGTGCAGGGACTTGCCAGAACGGCGTCAGCTCGGCGCCTCCGGCCAGCTTCTTGTTGAACAGCGCGACGAAGGCCGTGCCGAGCGCGAGCGGGATAGACGCTGCCTCGTCCAAAGACACGTTGGGTGGGATCCTCACCGCGCGGGCCCCGGGAACGAGGGCATACCGCTGGAAGGTCCCGCGCGCGTTCTTAAGCATTCCCTGCCATACACTGTGATCGGGATCAGCACTTAAATCCATGACGGGCATAATGAAAGGGACAAGCAAGGCAGTCCTACATCTTATCGTCCTTCTGGACGTTGGTGACGCCCTCGCCAACCTGCTCGACGACCCCTGCAGCATCCGAGCCCAGGATAGCGGGGTATTGTACGAACTCCTGATAGACTCCTGGGGCTTGGATCTTCCACTCGAGCGGGTTGAGGGCTGCTGCTTCTACCCGGGCAAGGACTTCACCGGGGCCAGGAACAGGAACGGGAGTGTCCTGCACGGCGAACTCGCCGTTCTTGGTCAAGAGGAAGAGAGCTTTCTGTTCTGCCAAGGCCATTGTTCAGGTTATGCAGACTTTAGGATTGATACTGAATTTTCGCTCAAACTTAGGACGAGCATTATATCCCGTCACGTTATCGCAGACTATAGGATATGGATCGAGATTAGGTTCGTGCGCTGACAAAGACTGGGTCAGTATGGATCAAGATTGACAAACCAACGTACCTACTGCAAGACGACGTGCCATCACAATGTATAGTAAGGCGACGAGCGGTGGGAGGATTGCGCCACTGGGTCACTAAGGCTGTGAGGCGAGAAGCGCTCGAGGAGAACTTCTCGGCTCGCTCAGGGCAAATTCACAGAACACCAACATCTCATATTATTTCAGGGAAAGGACGGACCGTGAGTTGAGGTCGACGTCAATCTTTGGGCTGAGCGGCTGGGGGTGAAAAGCTTGACTTGGATAATAGTCAGGCAGGGGTTTGTGTGAGTGTGAGTATGAGAAGTAGCCTGAGGAGCCCGCACGTTTGTGTGGCGTTGCTTGGCGCCACCCCAGGGTCAGCTCTCCAAACTACTACGGGCTACAGCCATCTCCATCCAAGCTAATCGGCGGTTGCGATGTTAGCGTTGACAAAGATTCTGTCACCGCTATTTCAGCACTAACAAAGCTGCATATATCAGGCGCAAGTCTACCCATACACGCCAGGAACAAGGTGGCATATGGTGGGAGGATGAATCGGCACAATCTCAGTTCTCCCGCAGCGCAGTTGTCGACGGAACCTTTGTCTGATGTGGATTACAGGGTAGCTACTGGGTATCCACCCTTAGTCGTTCTTTCTAGGCACGGATGGGTCCCATGCCGCTGGAAGCCGGCAAGAATTTCCCGGGCTAAATGGCATAGGAGCGCGCGAGTCGAGTCTATATAGACGTCCTCGAATGAGTGCAAGCTCCATCTCAGCGTCGATATCGGATCTTCACTATGACCCCAAAAACACAGAAGGCTCTCTTTGTCGTATCGGAAGGGGGCTCATTCGCTGTCCAGACCACCACTGTACCCTCTCCCGGTCCTGGCGAAATACTTGCTAAGGTGGAAGCAACGGGACTCAACCCAGTGGACTGGAAGATCAAGTTCCTCTACCATGAATGGATCAACTGGATCCAATATCCCGCGATACTGGGCATTGACGGCGCGGGCGTCGTCGACGCGGTTGGAGAGGGTGTCTCGAATCTCAAGATAGGCGATCCGATGTGCATACCATTCTCAGAATACGATGCTATACACTGACTTAGTTTCGTGATAGCTTATGGCAGGGAGTGCATGGGAATGAGCGTACGACGTTCCAGCAGTATGCGCTCGTGACTGCCGAACTCGCCGCAAAAATTCCTTCCAATATGAGCGTCGATGAGGCGGCGTCCATCCCATTGACCCTCGGTACTGCCTTCCTCGGGATGTACAACAAGAAGAAGGACGGTCCTGGAGGCGGAGCAGGATTAACGCCCTTCTGGAAGTCAACCACCGCGTATGCCGGTCAACCGTTCGTTGTGCTGGGCGGCGCTACTTCCACTGGCCAGTTCGGTAAGTGTATATTTGCCTATGCCCAATCTTATCATGGCGAGGTGCTGACCATAGACGCTAGCTATCCAGCTTGCCAGACTGTCTGGTTTCTCACCGATCATCGTCACGGCGTCCGAAAAGCATGTTGAACATCTCAAGTCGCTTGGCGCCACGCACGTCCTCCCTCGCTCTCTATCTGACGATGGGCTCGCTGCCGAGATTAGCAAGGTCACGCCACAACCGCTCAAACTTGTTTTTGATACCGTTAGCATCGCCGAGACGCAGAAGACCGGGTTGTCGCTCGTCGTCCCGGGCGGACAGTTGATCCTCGTGCTGCCACCCATAGAAGGCGTGGTACACGGCCGAGACGGCAAGGAGCTCGTGCGTACCACCGGGAATGTGAACTTCACCGGCCAGGGAGAGGTCGGACGAGAGCTGTATGCGCGTCTCACTCAACTCCTGCAGGACGGGTGGATCAAGGTGAAGCCAATTTGTCCTATCCCGTACATCATAGTGCGTACAACTCACTGATGCCCCACGTTCTCTGTTAGCCGCTTCGTATTCAAGTGGTTCCCGGTGGACTAGCGGGTATTCCGGATGGACTGGAATTACTTCGCCTGGATAAAGTCGGCGGTATCAGACTGATCGCGCATCCTCAGGAAACCGCTTAACTTATGATGTGCTGTATAGCTGCAGCTCGTTTCACGGCGAAAAAAGAGAAATGTTAACCTCTTCACTGTTGTGCATAAGATATCGGACAGACTGAAACATCGACAACTACGTACTAACATGGGACGGTTCCTGGTATTGGATAAAGAACACAGTGACGGAACCACTTATGCTGTCTCCTGAGGATGTACAATCAGTTTCACGCCGCTGACCTTGCCCTGTTGCAACAGGTCGAGCCCGCCCGGAATAGCCGCAAGACCACCAGGCAGCACTTCCACGCGATTCGGCTGATACGAAGGAGAGAGACTATCAGCTATGATAATAGGCACAGAGCCCGTTGTGGATTACCTTGATAGAGCCATCCTGAAGCAGCTGGCCAAGGTGCTTGTACAGCTCGCGCCCTAGCTCCTTCTGACCCAGGATGTGCACGTTTCCTGCCGGCGCGACAATCCGCTTTCCGTCCTCGCCATCCACGATGCCTTCGACGGGTGGCAAAAGCACGACGAGTGTCCCGCCTGGAGCGAGGAGCGACCAGCCGGTCTTCTGTGTACTAGCGACGCTGACGGCCTCGAAAACGATCTTGAGCGGGTCCGGCGTGATCTTGCGGATTTCGGTGGCAAGAGCATCATCGGAGAGCGAGCGCGGAAGGATATGTGTGGCCCCGAGAGATCGCAGGAAGCCTGCGTGTTTCTCGGATGCGGTGGTTATGATCGGGGAAAAGCCCGATAACCGCGCGAGCTGGATAGCTGGCGTCCAACCTGAGTACACGGATCGCGAGACATAGGATCTTTTTTCTTGCGCTACTCACCGTATTGGCCAACAGCGGTCGCACCGCCTATCGCGACAAACGGTTGCCCTGCATAGGCGGTAGACGACTGCCAGAACGGGGTCAGCTCCGCGCCACCACGATCGCCTGCCTTCTTGTACAGGCCAAGGAAGGCCGTTGAGAGCCCGAGCGGGACGGACGCGGCCTCGTCGATAGTCACGTTCTCAGGGATCTTCGCCGCATGCTCGGCGGAGACCAGCGCGTACTGCTGGAATGTGCCGTACTCCTTCTTGAATTGGCCCTGGAACAAACTACATGGCCGCGGTCAGCGCTCAGATTTCACGGGGATCTCGAAATAAGAATCGGGAGACGGGAACGTACAGCTTATCCCCCTCCTGCAAGTGAGCCACGCCTTCGCCGACTTGCTCCACGACGCCGGCGCCATCCGATCCCAGGATCCCTGGGTACTGGATGAAGTTCTGGTAGACGCCAGGGGCCCTTATCTTCCAGTCGACAGGATTGAGCGCCGCCGCTTCCAGTCGGACAAGAACCTCGCCGGGGCCGGGAGAAGGAACATTCGTGTTTTGAACAGCAAAGTCCCCGCCCTTCGATAAGAGAAAGAGCGCCTTTTGCTGGATAGGGGCCATGTTTAGAGATGCGAACTTCAAGGTGGATGCGTCAATATGGCGGACGTAATAAGCGGGTCAATGCATGCTATAATAGGTTACAAGTCGGATCGGCGGCAGAGCCCGGTGACCAATACGGGAGATAAGCATAGGCTTCGCTCCATCGCTTGAATAAGCAATCACAGATCCCGAGGGAAAAGCTCAGGGCGGATTGCAAAGCAAGGCGACGAGCGCCAGGAGGATTGCGCGACCGCGCGTCCGAGGGTGTGTCCAGACGTCAACCAGAAGCGCTCGTGAAAATCCAGGGTTCATTACTCCGGTTCGGATCGCAGAGGGGCACAGCCGGCGAGCGAGGTTGCAGGAAGGCGTCGCGGAGACAGGGTCAGGCCCTTCAGGCCCTGTCGAGTGGTTCGATATGATGCAAGCGCAGAAAGCCAGGCCAGATAAGCTTTTAGGATGCATAGATACTTAGCCTCAATCCCGATGGGTGATATGAGATGGACGGCCACAGTCTGAAGCTTCAGCTAGGGCAGCGCTTCGACATCATCGGCTCTCGTAAGTCCTCGACATTCGAGGCCGCAGGACCGATGTTCAAACGTTCAAGGTTAGCCTGCCGTCGCCTGGCAGAGAGGCCCAGGCACGTGGTCTACAGTGATCCACCATTCCTCTGGACAGCACCACTCCCTTGGACACGGGCTAATTTCTCTACATCGCCGGACTCTTGCCTCTTAATTATTTTTCCATATATACCTCCAATGGATCCTCACCATCTCTTGTAGCCCGATAGACAATATGTTGTGTTTTACTCGAATGAAAAATCGAAAACACTGTGGTGGCTGTGCTGTTCAATTTTATCTGGGCTCTGAGGGGTTTGTGAGCTACTGTACAACAAATCAGTGTACATATTCAGATTCAGGAGTGTTGAAAGCACTATCTGCAATTGAGTTCATGAGGGTACATATATTGATGGGCCCAATATCGCTCCAGGTTTCTGCAAGCTTCGGCGGAGCAGGAGCAAAGGCAGCCATGTGACTGTCGGGTAACCTCAGAAAGCTTTCCCGCGCTCACTCCGGCAATACGGCAAAGTCACAAACGGTGTGGGAAAACCACTGTCCAGAGGAACGGTAAAGTGGCTGTGAGGGGGTCACTCGTATTATGACTCTCAGAATTTTTGTAGGATACCTACTACTCCAAAAAAAATTGGGCAGATGGGCAAGATGTACGGCTAACTAATGATACTAAGTTGAAGAAGAATGAGAGCCTATGGGGAGAGAAATGCGCAATACAGTTTTTGCTGTCCAAGGGAACGGTGGATCACTGTAATAAGCGCGTTGTGTGTGGTGTTGTTTGGCTAGGTCAGCGCCAGCTCTGTTCCCCGCGTCGTCGGGTCGAAGGTCGTTGACAGTTCTTTGCTCCGACTTCGTGAATCTATTCCGCAGGGCTGAATATGAATATCACGGCACTCTTGCGACGACTAGCTATTTGAGCTACTCCATCAGATCGACTGCGTCAGAGTCTTATATGTTATGTCGTTGCTGAAGGAAATCGGTCCGCCACGCCTCGAACCAGGCGATGTACAGAGTGGACATTGTCGTTGCCCCGGGATCATGCTAGGCATCGAACTATCCCTTGTACTCGAAACTTTTACTCGTTGTAGGATTGGCATCGGTCAGTCATCAGTCATCATGACCCGCATTAAGTCTGACCTTCCAGGCGCCAGGACCCGGGGGCTAGCTAACACCCGGAACTTAGGGAAACTAGCACCACAGCACTCTGCTACTCCGTATGTCTTCTTGTCGTGGACAGGATGAGTGGTGAAGTTTTCAATCTCTGCTGTTTCCACCATACGTCGATATCCCTCTTTCAGGCAGGACAGTAGCGGCGAACATGAATCCAACGTAGATTTGCCGATCACAAATGCTTCCAAGCCCATCAGTCGACGCAGGGTTCGCGAATCGTATCCATGCACGCGCAATGAACCGCGGCACGGCAGCACGGGTCGTCTCCTGCTGACATATCAAGCTACAGCGTCTTTGTCAGCGTTGTTGCGGTGGTAGCAGGTTCACGCGCAATGGCGTATACGGTGTTCATACCCCGTGCCATTTTGCATTTAAGTCCGTGCAACAGTTCAGCCGAGCGCGCACATACGTTGATATGGCCCCCAAGGAACAGAAAGCCCTCTTCGTCGTGGCAGAACGCGGCGATTACGCCGTTCGAAGTACGGCCGTGCCCTCTCCTGGTCGTGGCGAGATCCTCGCCAGGGTGGACGCGGCGGCCCTCAACCCGGTAGACTGGAAGATCAAGTACAACTACCAGAACTTGATCACTTGGGTAACGTATCCTGCGATCTTGGGCCATGACGGGGCTGGCGTCGTCGAGGAAGTTGGCGAGGGCGTCACGAACCTGAAGAAGGGGGATAAAATGTGCGTTTGTGATGAAGTGGCAGTGTCCGGGTGTTCGGATCAACTGAGTTGAACCTGGTTCGCCACAGACTTTGGCAAGGCGTATGCCAGACTGATCGCGCGACGTTCCAACACTACACGCTTGTCACCGCCGACCTCGCCGCCAAGATCCCAGGCAACATCACCGTCGACGAAGCGGCATCCATCCCTTTGACGATCGCCACAGCCTTCTTGGGGTTGTACAACAAGAAGGCCGAGGACGGCGGCGGTGCGGCTCTGACTCCCTTCTGGGAGTCGTCGACGGCTTACGCTGGCCAGCCGATCGTCGTGCTTGGAGGTAGCACTTCCACCGGCCAATTCGGCGAGCCACACTTTCTCCTCCCGTTCGGCGTCTAGCGGGGCCACTAACGAGAGACTTCAGTCATCCAGTTCGCCCGCCTGTCCGGATTCTCCCCGATCATTACTACCGCGTCCGATAAGCATACGGACTATCTCAAATCCCTCGGCGCGACGCACGTTCTCGCTCGCTCGCTCTCTGACGACGCGTTGCGCGCCGAGATCCGCAAGATCGCGTCGCACCCCATCAAGTTCGTCTACGACGCCGTCGCCATCCCCGGCACGCAACACTTTGGGTGGTCGCTGCTCGGCGAAGGCGGACAGCTCATCCTCGCGCTGCCGCCTACTGAGGGCATCGTCCACAACAAGGACGGCAAGGACCTCGTGCGCGTGCTCGGCAACGTGAACTTTCCTGGAGAAAAAGAGGCGGGGCGCGAGCTATACGCGCGCCTTAGCCAGCTGCTGCAAAATGGGTCAATCAAGGTCGGTCTGCTGACGCGCTTCGTTTTGTGCCGAGAACTAACACTTCGGTTTTCGGTAGCCGAACCGCGTGCAAGTGGTCCCCGGCGGCCTTGCAGCAATCCCAGACGCGTTGGAGCTGCTCCGGGAGGAGAAAGTAGGCGGCATCAAGTTGATTGCACATCCTCAAGAAACCACATGAGTAACGGTATCCAGTCAACGTGAACTCGAATTGAGGGATTATGTACTCTTACACGCGTACCGACACGCAATATAGGGAGCAGTTACACTTAGAGGTATAGAGTCCGACTGCCGGTGGGCGCTGCGTGGTCCCAGGTCGTCAGTTATGCAGGACCTCGATTGCAAGACGGCGTAAGGCGCAAGTCGCGACTCGGATCCAGTTGTAAGAGGTCAAACACATCTTTGTTACAAATTCATCTTAATATACACTTTCCCGACGACGACGACGACTTTCTGTTTGCTATGGTGGTCTTGATTCTCACGGTGTCTCCTGAGGACGCGCGATCAGCTTGACACCGCTGACCTTGTCGTGGCGCAACAACTCCAGCCCCTCAGGGATACCCGCCAGCCCGTTGGGGAGCACTTGCACGCGATTCGGCTGCGAAAAGAACACGCTCAATCACAAGGGAAGGCACGTAACGCAACGCGGGACACCCACCTTGATCGAGCCGTCGCTCAATAACTGACTGAGGCGCACATACAGCTCCCGCCCCGTTTCCTCCTGGCCAGGGTAGTTTACGTTCCCGAGTACCTCCACGAGTTCCTTTCCGTCTGTGCCGTGAACGATGCCTTCAGCCGGTGGTAAGACCAAGAGCAACTGACCGCCCGGTGCGAGGAGCGACCACGCCGCTTTCTGCGTGTCAGCAAGGCTGACGGCGTCGTAGACAACCTTGACCGGCTGTGACGTGATCTTGGCGACCTCGGTGAGGAGAGCGTCGGCAGAGATTGTGCGGGAGAGGACGTGCGTTGCGCCGAGGGATTGGAGGAACACGGTGTGTTTTTCCGATGCGGTCGTGATGATGGGGGAGAACCCGGACAATCGGGCAAGCTGAATGACTGGCTTTCACGTCAGCCCACTGACACCAGGCCCAGTATGAAGACGATGTTGCACTCACCAAACTGGCCAACGGAAGTGGCGCCTCCCAGTATGACAATCGGCTGGCCGGCGTAGGCGGTCGATGATTCCCAGAAGGGCGTCAGCTCCGCGCCTCCGCCCTGCCCGACCTTCTTCTTGTTGTACAGCGCGAGGAACGCGGTTGCGAGCGTGAGCGGTATGGACGCAGCTTCATCGACGCTCACGTTCTCCGGGATCTTCGCCGCGAGATCAGCGGAGAGGAGCGCGTACTGCTGGAACGTCGCGCGATCGTTCTTGAACATACCCTGCCACAGGCTGTGATCGTATCAGTTACGCCTCACCATGAAATTGAAAGAAGAGGCAGAACGTACATTTTATCGCCCTTGCTGAGGTGAGTGACGCCGTCACCAATCTCTTCGACAACGCCAGCGCCATCGGTCCCGAGGATCCCCGGGTATTGGAACCAGGTGTATGCCGTTATCTTCCAATCGACGGGATTAAGCGCCGTCGCCTCCACCCGAACGAGGACCTCGCCGGGCCCAGGGTTGGGTACGGGTGTGGCCCGAACAGCGTACTCTCCCTCTTTCGACAGGATGAAGAGAGCCTTTTGCTCTGCCGGAGCCATGTCGATGTCGAGGTGTGATATGGGCGGGACGAGGGACCCTCAAGAGATTGCGGTTTGTGAACTGCACTGGGTTCATATTCAGACCCATGATATCGAATATATCGTGAGTCCGGTCGTTAGAGAGCAAGCCGACGTGACGTTGGCTGGCACACATAAGTAGTACGTCAGCGGGCATTCGCACGGGAAATCAGCGTGCACATCAAGTACGTCATGCATCTGAGTTGTCTGAGCAACGCGGGGCATGGGGAGACAAACAGTCGCGAGAGGTGGATCAGACGGGACAGAATGACATTGAACTAAGCAATCCTAAGTACTACTTATTACGTCGCAAGCGATTTGCCGCTCATGTCGAACGCAAATAATCTCAGCGGTTGCAGGTCATATTACTTACAGGCCCGATATATACAGAAGTAGGCAAGTACATATACACAGGTAAGTGTTGCTATACCCGTGAGTACCCATCACGTTTAACCAGGTAGATGATCGGGCACGGTGTGCAGGCATGAGATATGGATCACCCCATAGTCGAACGACTGTCTTCACGCTCTAGAGTGTGCCTGGGGAGAGGACATATAGTCGGGATACAGTGTTTGGACATACATCACCATGATGTCACGCACGGCATCGTTCGATGGTGTTGTCGCAAAACCCAATAAAACTTACCGGCCGTACCAGCGGGATCCAGGGGGAGAGGGGAGAGAGAGCAATGAGCACTCGTTGATCAAGGTTTCGACCTTCTGGACCTTCTTCAATACGTTCCGTTCCGGACGAATGCGTCATTCAATTGCGGAGCAGGATGTAGCGTACGCTGCCTTGGCTCTCCGGCACCGTTCAGCGCGCCGCTCGAGGCTCGTGCTCGTTGACATTTCCAGTCATTAAACCATGAACGATGGCCAAATAGAGAGCAAGCAGATGTGTGGTTCTCGTGATCTCTAAGCACAAGCTTGTTTCGCTGAGTAGAACAGTTGTATGAATCGTTCAGGCCAAATCACGTCCCGGCCCACGTGGCTCATCACCGGCTGGGCTTGGGAAGTCGAAAAGGGCGGCAAGCTTGAGCGCTGTTGGATCGCCATCCCGCAGACCTCGCCGCGAGAGACAAAACACCAGGTCATGGAAGGAACGCGCGCAATCCGGACGCCTTTCGCTTCCCAAACCAACCAGCACTCGGAAGTACGCCAATGCTTCATCCAGGTCCGCAACGTTCCCCACACGCTTGAAGGACTTTCTGAGGGATGAAGCGAGCTGGAGCACGAGGCCGGATTTCTCGATCACGTCAGCTGAGGTCTCGCCGCACGCGGCGGCATGGGTGTAGTGGAGGATCGCTTGTTTCAGGGCTTTGACGTCGCCGTACCGTTTGTGACGCTCCCGATAGGCATCGGCGAGGCGCGTATGCAAGCTGGCCTGCTTACGATTATACGCGGGTTCGCCAGCGACGGCGATCCGGTAATACGCGATGCACTCGTCGAGATCTATCGGGGAGTTGCGATGACCGTAGCGCAGCCATAGCGTATCTGCAAGGTCCACCAGCGTATCGTCCGAATGGGGATCGTGGAGAGCGTGTAGTTTCAGCGCAGCTCGGAGGCAAACGATAGCTTCGTCCAAGTTTTGACGCCGGAGGAGACGCTCATAGCGGTTTTTGAGGCAAAGACCGAGCTCGTGGACGATAGGAGCCTTGTTTTTGTTCATGTTCGTGTAGTGGTGCAGCATGTCCCGAAGGAGCGCAATGACGGCGTCCAACGTCTCGCGGGTGACGTCGCATGAACGTAAACTGCGAAGCCGTCCGGAGAACTCTGCAATGATCGTGGCCAACTCATCGAAGGACGTGTCTACGTGGTGAGGGCCGTTGAGTTGCATTTGGGATATAAAGCGATGCACAGCGACAGCTTCGTTGACGCCGTCCAACTGCTTGAGGCGGTGTTGCAGAGCGGATACGATTGCGACAAAGGTTGGGCGAACGGCAGAGGAGCCGGAGGAGGACACGACCAGAGAATGGGTCGGTACCGGAACCTCGATTGGGAGCTGTACGCTGGGGGCTGATATACACCGCAACTCTTCGACGACATTACGCGAGGTCGGTCGGACGTCGGGTACGATATCCCAGCAACGCTCCACTAGGGTCCAAAGGAGTTTGGAGATAGGGCGGCCACGAATGGACTTCGGCCTATGAGGTCGGGCTCCCGCCATCACCCGAGCTACAACGTTGTATTCATTACGGATCTCCGCAAATGGGGGCAATCCGGTATGCGCCTGAGAGAGAATTGTCATCGGCCAACTGAAGAGCCAGTGCATCAAACAAATCACGAACCTCCAGGCAGACGCAACCAAATGCGTAAACGTCACTATGAAGAGTCCTGTGAACATCGCCTGTAGCGAGCAGTTCGGGGGCGTTCCAGCGATAGGAGCCGTTACTCGTGGTGGGTGTGACTTTTTCGCCAGCCATGATCACTGACAGGCCGAAATCGGCGAGCTTAGCGTGGCCTTTGCGGTCTACGAGGATGTTGGACTGTATGCCCTGCTTGCTCAGATTACGACATTAGGATAGTTACGTGAAGACATACACATCGAAGGTCCCCGTGGACTACAGACAAACAGTGCAGGTAGTCCATGCCGAGCGCAGCTTGCAACAGCTACAGAACAGGAGAGGTCATCACGGTATGCGATTCGGAAGTGTATATATAGCATACCAACGTGTTGATGTCCAAAGGACTGGGATTCATTCGAGTTCTGTAATCCAGCAAACTTCCGCCATGCATCCAGGGCGAGACTGCGCAGATCATGAAATCAAAGGTTGACGCATCGACACCTATAAATGGCAATACATTGGGATGATCCAAGGCTTGCCAAAGGAGAACCTCGCGGCAGAGTCTCTATCAGTAGGAGTCGTCAGACTGTAATCGGGGTGGGTGGTGCACACCGCGCTGATCAAGCATACCTTGTGGATGGCTGAGCGTTCTTGGGAATGAGCATAGATGCGGAAACGTTTCAACGCGACCTCTTGTCCGTAATACGACCCTCGCAATATATCCGCAAAACCTCCGGCGTTGACGGGGTCCCGTGAATGCAGTTGAACGCCCGCGACAAAGAGCTTCGAGGGAAGGACGTTGGTTTGCTGTACCAGCCTCACCAAGAGTTGACTGATGGCTTTGCGAGCTGCACCGTTATGACGTTCTCCAGAGCTGACGACGGTCAAGGCCTACAAAGAAGTTTTAAGATCATTCGGGCCAAAACACAAGATACGGACGTCGTAAAGATAGTTGACGAGAGCCACGTCGTTGGAAGTGTTCACACTGCGGTCTGAGGGAAACAACCGTACGGCAGGGTCTTCGGGTATATGCGCTTGCACCAGCAAGGCCCAAGTTGCTTCGTCAAAATCTGCGTCATTTAAGGCTGTTAGTCCAAGTCTTCCAAGGCAACTGTCACAACACAAAACGCAATAGAACGTACCGATCCGGTTTGGTCCAACCGGGTTGGTAACATCACGAGATAGCTTGGAATAGCTGGTACTCATTCGAGTCGGGTCTGATTCCATCTCATCCGCGAATTGAAGTCTGGCACGATGGACGCTTGTGTCCCCGGTACGGAGGCTTTGTGCTACCAGAAGGCGCTAGGCAGCATATGAGAGAGAACAAGAGGAGAACAGTAGCCATGTCTGTGTCCCAGTATAAGTAGGAAGAGACAGTATACGGGCGCTCAGAAGCATGTTGACAGCTCGCCGCATAGGGTGAGGGGGCAATATGGGGGTAACAAGGCGGTGCAAAGCTATCTGTCCTTGCGCCCCTCTGGATGGACCAGTGTCCCTGTTTCGCAAGTCGGTGATGGTCCAGGAAAGCGAGTTCATCGATATGTGTGGTAGTTATGTGATTGATTGTTGTTTTGACGGGCAGAGAGCAGAGGCTCTACGTAAATAATCTCCTAGTTGAGAGAGGAAGGGAGAGTTTTGTTGTACGTTCCGTAAATCTTTCACTCTTCGGCTTCGACCAAGAGGCAAATACCATGCACATACTCTACAAATACTCGACGCGGATGCAAAGGACGGGGTCTTTCCTCGCACACCCACCATATGCGCTGATTGTTTGGCCCTGGACTGCGGAAAGTATTACGCGTACATAAGTCGACGCGATCTTGTTTGATTCAAGTGGCCTGCTTTTGCTAACGGACGACCATGGCCTCTCAGCCCGTCGAGGAGACGTCGGAGCGGACACCCTTGCTCCCGGACACCACCGCAGCCACCACCTCGCGAGTCCAACATGCTACCGATGGAGAGACGCCACTGCCCAAGGGCCAAATCCTACTCCTCAGCTTCACGCGGATCGCAGAACCACTCACTTTCGCGATTCTATTCCCCTTCGTGAATGCCATGGTGCTCAGGACGGGCGAGGTGGAGGTGGAGGAGGTTGGGTACTATGTTGGTGCGATAGAGAGCCTGTTCTCACTCGTGCAGATGATGTTCCGTACGTGTCCAGCTGTGGCTTGCTCATGCTCGTAACTGAGAAATTGAGCATAGTGATTTCCTGGGGTTGGGCCGCGGACAAGTACGGGCGAAAACCGGTGCTGCTCATCTCCTTGCTGGGAGCAGCTCTCTCCACGACTCTGTTCGGTTTCTCGACGAAAATCTGGCACATGTTCGTGGCGCGCTGCATTGGAGGTTTATTCGGGGGAAATGCCGTAGTGGTTCGAACGGTGAGTACGGTTCGTTGTGCACGAGGAGCTTTGTTCATCCTCCGTGCTGCATTATAGCTCTTTGCGGAGATATCAGATAGCACGAACCAAGCCAGAGCGTTCAGCTTCTTCGCATTCGCTTCGAACATCGGACTGATGGTCGGTACGCGTCATTCGTGTCCTCATCTTCTATGACATCTACTCATGTTCATATTCACCTTCACAGGTCCCCTGATCGGCGGCGCCTTCGCCGAACCCGAGGATGCCTGGCCCGGCACGTTCGGGCGCATAGGATTCCTCCGCACCTATCCCTACGCCTTGCCATGCCTCGTCTCCGGGTCCTACTGCCTCCTCGCGTTCGCCCTCAACGCCGTCTTCCTCCGCGAACCAGCGAAGCGCGAGCACGACCCGAAGAAGGACGGTCCCAAGCCCGGGCTGAGGACTCTCCTGACGCCGCCGGTGCTCAAAGCATTACTCGTTTTCAGCGCAGCTATGTTCCTCGGATTGGCGTACAGTAAGATTTGTCTCTTCCTTCAAAGCGCGAGGACAACAAGAACTGACGTGTTGAATTGTCTCGCAGCTGCGGTACTGCCGATCTGGCTCTTCACCCCGGTCCACCTGGGCGGGCTCAACTTCCCACCGTCGCAGATCGCCGTCCTCATCGCTCTGGCCGGCTTTTCTCAGTCGCTATGGCTCCTGTTGGCCATGCCGCCTCTCGATAAGGCGCTGGGAACGTATCGCCTCCTGCGGATCTGCTTTACTGTGATCACCCTGCCTTTCCTTCCCGATTCATTGCGGTGTGGCTGACGTCCCCGTTTTGCAGTTCTGGCCGTGGTTCCTCCTCACGCCAATCGCGGTCAGTCTGATGGCCAGAGCCGGCGACTGGGTCGTCGTCTTCATACTCGTAGGGTTGATGCACACCCTTGGAAGCGGGGTCGCCATGGCGTTCAGTGCGTAATCAATCGCATTCAGGTGGTGTGGCGTACTGATGAGTTCCGGAAACAGCTTCGGTACAGCTTCTCTTGAACAACGTCTCGCCCCCAGCCCATCTTGGCGCTATCAACGGCCTCGCGCTGACCATCAATAGTGGCATCCGCACCTTCACTCCGGCGCTGTTCGCGTCTATATTCGCCGTCGGCGTCCAAAAGAACATCTTGGGACGGTACGCTTCTGACTCTGTCTCCTTCCATCTCCAGTGCCGCATATACTCAACGTTCCTTTCGATAGATATCTCGCGTGGGTGGTCCTATGGGCATGCGGTATGATAGGCTACTTCGTCAGCATGCTCGCGCCGAGGGAGAACGTGCGCGTGACTGGCGTAGGCGAGCCGGAGTCGGAGCCGCTCGCCGACGAGGAGCAGGTCGCCGGGGCTGAGGTCACTGGTGCAACAGCGAGCAACGGCAGCCCTGCGTCTACCACCACCTTGATTGAATCTGACAACGCTCGATGACCCTGGGCTGATAGGTCCCCGACCCCAATTGTACATATCGTTAATACTTCATCATGAAGGATATAGAGCAGGGCTCCGTTATCACGAAGCCCTTGATACCACGTAATACGGTGCCCCCAGCGAGTGTCTTCTCTATTCCGGTAGTCGGGTACGTTACGACCACACGAACTCGATCTTTCTAGTGCAAGGGCACTCCGACGGTAGGGCCAGAGAAAGATCGAAGCCCATCACCAAAACCAGGAAGAGACCGAAGCGGTACATAGTTAATTGAGCCAAAGGTCAGCGGCTAGAGCAATGCGATAGAAGCCGCATCCAATCCGGCATGCACATCGTAGACGATTCCAAGCCCAAGCAATTACAATGTATTACCCTGTCGTAGATGAAAACTGTGCCATCCAGAAATATTAGTATGCATACATTCACCACTCCCGAATTTGAACCAGAAACACCTCATCGACAGCCCATCCTGTCATACTTGTCCGGACGACCCTGGAGGTGCGTCAACCTGGTGCCGTAGATTGTCATTGTGTACCGCGGATCTCTTGTCATCGCTGCGAGCGCGTCGCAATTGAATTTTTCTTCGCCGAGAGCGGCTCGCTTGCGAGTTGCAAGCTGCCTGAGGGAGTCGAGGGAGTATATGGTCTTGGGAGAACACGCGAAGGTCTGATACGGAAGGCTCCGCATTTCCTTAGGAGTCAGGCTGAACGCTCTCTGCGCGTCGCTCTTCAACAGGACCTGCGATGTGGATCGTCTAGCGCTGTTGTCTGGCGAGGCATGCAAAGCACGCACTCTGGTGCCCATCGCGAAGGTTAGGACACGCCCTTCCGACGCGAGACTCGCGTCCCATGCCTTCTTCTTGTCGCGCGCCTCTTTCCGAGCAGCGACCATGCGTTTCTTCTCCTCTCTTTCCTCCGGCGTCAGGACAACCCTTTTCCTCGACTTCTTCACCTCAACTTGGGCGGCCTCTTCCAGAGCATACGCGCACATGGAGCCGTGACCATAGCGAGGCATGACGACAGTTAGGTGTTGAAATTAGGTAGGATATCTCGGGTCGCGGAGAATATAATAAACAGTCAGGTACGTCGGATGCAACGAAGGCAGAGCGTCGCCGTCACGCGGCGAAGTGGAAGTAGGAAAAACGCGTGACGTCGCGCGATTCTCAGTGACGTGAGCGTTACTTACACCGCTTCCGTTGTTTGGCAAATGACTTCCCAAGCAAGTTATCGCAGCTTTACGCACAGGACCGTTATCCCTCAACGCTCCGCGCGACCGTCAGTCAGTTCAATCAAGTGCACGAGTCGTTCAGAATCCAAAGGTCTATGTCGAGCTTGTTCCGATAAACACGCGGCCTTCTCGGCTTGTGCTTTCTAGGCGTTGTTAAAGTCTGTACACACTGGAATCATTTCTGGTGTGAAAGCTGCGCTGCCGCACACAGTGGCGGGCGACGTCAAGCTCACCTGGTTGAGTCTGGGTAAGTCTCAGTCTGTGGAGGACAGAAGTAAAGCGACTTATATTGCAACGCTCAGACAGGCCTGTATATATACTACAGAGAGTGGCTATGCGGTGCAATCACATGCTAAGCTATAGAACAATAAAGAAGGCTGTGGAACGTAGCAACGTACAGCCTATTGTGTCAGAAATAGATACAGCTGTGCCGAGGACGGCAGTCAAGGCGGGCTGTGCCAGCGCCTGTGAATCGGTGGCTGTAGAGCGCCAATTCAACACTCCCCCTCGCTGAGTGCAACGGTAGGCACGTGAGCGGATATGGCGCAAAAATGCAGCCACAGGGAGGACAATGGTTTCAACCGAACACTAAGCCCAGTTGTGACCTGAACTTGAGG